AGAGTGGACTGATATAACTGTCTTGTCAGAGGGGGGCTAATATAGCTGTCTTGTCAGAGGGGGCTGATATAACTATCTCGGCAGAAGGGGCTAATATAACTACCTTGTCAGAATGGGCTGATGTAACTGCCTTGTCAGAGGGACCTGATGTAACTGTTGTGTCAGATGGTGCTGATATAACTGCCTTGTCAGAAGAGGCGGCTGATATAACTGTTTTGTCATAGAGGGGCTAATATAACTGTCTTGTCAGAGGGGGCTGATATAACTATCTTTTAAGAGAGGGGCTAATATATCTGTCTTGTCAGAGAGGGTCTGATATTACTGTCTTGTCAGATGGGGCTGATGTAACTATCTTTCCAGAAGGGGCTGATATAACTGCCTTGTCAGATGGGGCTGATATAACTGTTTTGTCAGAGGGGGCTGATATAACTGTCTTGTCAGACAGGGGCTGATACAACTGTCTTGTCAGAGAGGGGGCTGATATAACTGTCTTGTCTAAGAGGTACTGATATAATTGTCTTGTGAGAGGGGGGCTGATACAACTGTCTTGTCAAGGGGGTGATATAAACTGCCTTGTCAGAGGGGGGCTGATATAACTGTCTTGTCAGAAGGGGTGCTGTAACTGTCTTGTCAGAGGGGGCTGATGTGAATTTGGTTGTCAGAGGGGGCTGATATAACGTCTTTTCAGAAGGGGTGATATGACTGTCTTGTCAGAGGGGGCTGATATAACTGTCTTTTCAAAGGGGGCTGATATGACTTGTCAGAGGGGGCTAATATGACTGTTGTGTCAGAGGGGACTAATATGACTGTCTTTTCAGAGGGGCTGAGATAACTGTCTTGTCAGAGGGGCTGAGATAACTGTCTTGTCAGAGGGAGCTGATATGACGGTCTTGTCAGAGGGTGCTGATATAACACTTAGTATAACATGACAAACTGCAACATAACATCTCAATTCAACTTTGTAGATATGTATTCAAAGTGGTTGAAGTATAATTATTTTTGAAAATATAAGATTATGTGATTATGATTACAGCTTTTCCTCACTTAATGATGGAGTACCGTTCCTAAGACCACGTCGTTAAATGAATTCGTTGCTATGTGAGGAGCATACTATAATGTTACTTGGTTTGTGTCAACTCTCTTTGATAGTGTTTTAATGTCACTTTTGCACCATTTATAACATTTCTGGTATATTTTTGTTTATACAGTAGTGTACTGTACAGTGGAACCTCAACTTACGAACAGCCCACCATGTGAACTTTTCAGTATACTAGCCGTCGTTCGGTAATTTTTTTGCTTGTGGATACAAACGAAATTTCAGGATGCGTACTTCCCCCTGAAGGGGGGTTCCTTAAATAGATAAATAAAATATTTATTTTTATGCAAAGTTTACAATGTGTGCTTACATATAATATGATTGGAACAAAGAAAGCCACTATCATTCCGAGGCATTTTGGGCAGACTTAACTTAATACTTATAGACTATTTAAGTTTAGACATGTAAAAAGTAGTGGTTACCAGTGTTGTGCTGATGGTGGCACCAACTACTGGCAGCCTTTTGAAGTTTCCCCTTACTGTTATTTTTTTATTTTTTATTATCACACTGGCCGATTCCCACCAAGGCAGGGTGGCCTGAAAAAGAAAAACTTTCACCATCATTCACTCCATCACTGTCTTGCCAGAAGGGTGCTTTACACTACAGTTTTTAAACTGCAACATTAACACCCCTCCTTCAGAGTGCAGGCACTGTACTTTCCATCTCCAGGACTCAAGTCCGGCCTGCCGGTTTCCCTGAACCCCTTCATAAATGTTACTTTGCTCACACTCCAACAGCACGTCAAGTATTAAAAACCATTTGTCTCCATTCACTCCTATCAAACACGCTCAAGCATGCCCGCTGGAAGTCCAAGCCCCTCGCACACAAAACCTCCTTTATCCCCTCCTCCAACCTTTCCTAGGCCGAACCCCTACCTCGCCTTCCTTCCCCCTACAGACTGATACACTCTTGAAGTCATTCTCTTTCGCTCCATTCTCTCTACATGTCCGAACCACCTCAACAACCCTTCCTCAGCCCTCTGGACAACAGTTTTGGTAATCCCGCTCCTCCTCCTAACTTCCAAACTACGAATTCTCTGCATTATATTCACACCACACATTGCCCTCAGACATGACATCTCCACTGCCTCCAGCCTTCTCCTCGCTGCAACATTCATCACCCATGCTTCACACTCATATAAGAGTGTTGGTAAAACTATACTCTCATACATTCCCCTCTTTGCCTCCAAGGACAAAGTTCTTTGTCTCCACAGACTCCTAAGTGCACCACTCACCCTTTTCCCCTCATCAATTCTATGATTCACCTCATCCTTCATAGACCCATCCGCTGACACGTCCACTCCCAAATATCTGAATACATTCACCTCCTCCATACTCTCTCCCTCCAATCTGATATCCAATCTTTCATCATCTAATATTTTTGTTATTCCTCATAACCTTACTCTTTCCTGTATTCACTTTTAATGTTATTATTATTGTTATTACTATTATATTCTATTATTATTATTATTATTATTGTTATATTAATTATTTTTATTATTATTATTAGTATGTATGTGGTGAGGGGCTCTTGATCTAAGGAATTTGATCTATGTTCCAGTTCCCTAAATTAAGCCTGAATACCTTCCATCCTCTCCCCCCACAAGTGCTTCTGCATTATAATAATAAAAATAATGATAATAATTATAATATAATAATAAGAATAAGAATATAGTAATAATAATAATATAATAATTTGATAATAATAAGCACGTATAATAATAATATACAGGTCTCCCTCAACATCCGCATTTTCCACTTTCGCGGGCTTCGAATATTCGCGAATTAACAGCCGCCCAATCATATTTGAAATATGTCATTACATATGATAGGAATTGTGGCAGTGGCAGAGTTTGTTTGGAGATAGGACAAGATAATCCTTCAATATGACACTGATATCAACTCTATGGCTTATTTATCTATTGCAATTGATCTAATATGACATAATAAACAACATTAATAACATAAAAACATGACATAAATTCTAGGATGAATAAAATACGTCATTAACCCTTTCAGGGACCAGAGGCCAAATTTCAAAGTGTGCACCAGTGTCCAAGAATTTTCAAAAAATAATTTTGTTTTTTTCTTATGAAATGGTAGAGAATCTTTTTCTGAAGATAATGAAACAGAAAGTATGAAATTTGATGGAAAATTGACGAAATTATGCTTTCACGAATTTTGCTGTGTCAGCGATATTTACGCATTGACGATTTTGCCAACTTTGACTCCTATTTTAGGCCAATTACATTATTCCAGTCGACCAAATTCTTAGCTACTTCACAAGTATTACTTCTATTCTATTGATTGAGCAGGTCACTAAGTGAGGAGAGGCTGTATCCATATTCATCAAAAACTGATGCATGAATTATAAAGAATAAATTGATTTGAATGATTAAGAAAAATATTCATTTGTTAACAGGAGCATAGCACAGCATTTACACCTATTTTCTATTAGTGAAATTGTAAATGGGTTTCTTGATATACAGTATAAAAGGAATTGTTCTGAAGTGTCAGTAACTGTCGCAGCATTGTAGTGGTGTTCATCTTCTTCCACTCTGTAGCATCTTTAGGTTGCTCTTGGTTTGACTGATCAGTCAGGACATGTTTAGCAGAGGGAAGATTTACCCTTGAGCACTCCTTTGCTGAATGATTCATTCATAGCATAGTATAGTGCTTATATTGAGATTTAACAAATTATGAATTGCAGGATAATTTTCAGTGACATGATTGCTATAATTTATGAAATTTTGATTGTAATTTTCCAGTATTTAACCCTTTCAGAGTCCAAAAGCCAAATTTCAAAGTGTGCACCAGTGTCCAAGAATTTTCAGAAAATATTTTTGCTATTTTTTCTAATGAAATGGTAGAGAATCTTTTTCTGAAGGTAATAAAACAAAAAGTACGAAATTTGATGGAAAATTGATGAAATTATGCTCTCGCGAATTTTGATGTGTCTGATATTTACGCATCGGCGATTTTGCCGACTTTGACTCCCATTTTAGGCCAATTACATTATTCCAGTCGACAAAATTCTTAGCTATTTCACTAGTATTACTTCTATTCTATCGATTGAGCACAAGAATTCGCCAGGTCAACTGTTTCAACTACAAAATAAAGTGATCGGAAATTAGTGATTTGGCCAATTTAATGCAAAGTTCAAAATACTCCAATTTTAAAATAGGGTCCAGAATGAACAATGCAGGCATTTCTGGCACTAAACTAACATTTCCCCTGTTCATTAGTTACATTTTCAGACTTTACTAATGAATTCCATTTTTATTTTTTATTCACATAATGAATTTTTATTCAAGCCAAAAAATTTGAAGATTTACTGTTATGCAGTATTGTAATAATTGTATAAATAATATCACCACATTTGTGAATGTATATTAGACCCACCAGCTGACATGTATTAAACTTGTGAGGTCATTTGTTTACTCTTGAACATCGGCAAAAATTTAACATTTCCACTACTTTGAGCTCAGTTTCAAGCCATTTCCAGTACTAAAACCAATCAAAATCATCTCTATTTCTGTATTATATCTTCCATTCTATCAAATGGGACCAAGAAATCGCAAATACAACTATAAAAAAAATACAAGAAAATACTGCAAAGTCGCTGTTTTAATCGAAAATTACGGTCTCAGTTTTTTTTCTCTTATTATGCACTGTGTGCTGCAGGATTTGTTTTATGTGGTGCACACATACCATATAGATGTATTCTCTCATATCTAGGCCAAAATTTACTGCTCATGGCTTATCAGAGTGAGCTGAGCTCATGACGTAGATCTACGGTTTGGACCCTCAACGTAAAGCCGTAGATCTACGGCACAGACCCTCAAAGGGTTAAGTTTGGATATATTAATTATTTAAATTTTGCCTTTTTTTTTTTTTTATGTGAGTTCAGAGCGAGACAAATTGCCATGGTCACTGAATTTAGGAAGCTTCAGTGTGTTCAGTCTGCAAGGTACAGGTCAACATGTAAAGCTGCCTGTTCTCAAACCTGTCAACACTACAGCCACACTAGCCATTACTACTAAGTACCAGGTGAGAAATCTTCAGTTGAAGTCCTTATGATAGAGACTATCTTAACTATATGTAAAACTTGTTGTATGCACTCAAATGTTCTCAAAATTTTTAGGTAAAAAATTACTGGATCAACTTACTGATAAGTAGTATTTTTGATAGGCTGAGGTCCATGCTTAGTACAATTTACAAATGTTTAAAAATCAGGATTTTCTTCAAGTCTGTTTATCAATTTACAAAAATTATTTGATACAGTTAACCATAATATTCATCTAATTGACTTTTGCAGGATCAGTGACCATACACTACATTATCAAATTCTACCTTGATAATAAATACTAACATGAGACTGTAAATGGCACTACAGTACCTCAGCTGTGTCATCCATAAACATTTGGAGTTCATCAAGACAGTGTCCTGGTCCACTGTTATTCTCTCTTTACACTAGTGACCTACCAAATGCATCCCATTAGCTTCAGCCAGTTCTTATTGCAGATGATAATAAGACATATGTGAGCTTGTTAGATCAAAGTGAGTGGAGACAGGGGATTTTTATGGCATGACATACAGTTGAAGTGTAAGCAAGGTGGCCCATGGCCTGGTGGCAAAATCTCTTGCTTCACACAGTGAGGGTCCGGGTTCAGTTCCCGGCAAAGGGTGGAAACATTGGGAGTGTTTCCGTACACTGGTTGTCAATGTTCACCCATCAGTAATATTGGGTACCTCAGTGTTAGTCAACTGGTGTGGGTCACAGCATGGGATAAAAGTGACCTAATTTGCCCAAAATGCTCTTCATAACAAGTGGCTTTCTATATACAGTAGTAGTATGTCATTGATGTCAGCTAGGCCTGTATATCTTGTACATGTACTTGTAGAAATAAAGATATTTATTATTATTTTTTTAACACGTCAGCTGTTTCCCACCAAGGCAGGGTGACCCAAAATGAAGGAAAAACCCCTAAAAAAGAATGGAAAAGCTTTCATTATCATTCAACACTTTCACCATCACTCATACATAATCACTGTCTTTGCATAGGCACTAAGATATGACAGTTTAGATGTCCCTCCAAACTGCCAGTATCCCAAACCCCTCCTTTAAAGTGCAGGCATTGTACTTCCCATTTCCAGGACTCAAGTCCAGGTAACCGGTTTCTCTGAATCCCTTCACAAAATATTACCCTGCTCACGCTCCAACAGCTTGTCAGATCCCCAAAACCATTCGTCTCCATTCACTCCTATCTAACACCCTCGCGCATGCTTGCTGGAAGTCCAAGTCCCTCACCTGCAAAACTTCCTTTACCCCCTCCCTCCAACCTTTTTGAGGACCACCCCTACCTCACCTTCCTTTCTTATTATTATTTATTAATAGATTTGGGGAAAACTGGTAAACTTACTTGAGTCGTGCAGGTGGGAAGTAAAGTGCATGCACTTTAGTTTTTCATCTTATTCTCAGTCAATAGGATCCTCAGGTTGTCCTTGGAGTTTACTAACATTAATAACTGCTCAAAGACTGGGTCATATTTATCAGATGGAGGATTGAGCCTCCATCAGTCCTTATATTGAATTACTCACACACACACACACACTAACCACTTCACATATGTAAATATAAATAATTCAGATCGTTCTGCTTAATGATAGATAAATTTTGATGAGTTGCCATGTGCAGTACAGGAGGGCCCCACTTTAGAGTGCTTTACTTTACGGTGTTTCGCTTATGCAGTGGTTTTAATTATAACCATTCTTCATTTATTCAGACTTCCTACAATAAATATATTCACCACTCACTCAAAACTAAGGATGAAAACATTTTAAAGTTAGTAATGTGTGTACTGTACATGCATTTTTTAGACCTAGCTTTATTGCTCACTTAAAATATGATGGTGTTAACATATTATCAGGCTTTTATTTGCATTTGAAAGTGAAAAAAAGGCTATGTTTTGCTTTATAGCGATTTTCATTTTACAGCAGAAGCCCAGAACCTAACCTGCTGTATAAGCGGGGCCCAGAACCTAACCTGCTGTATAAGCGGGGCCCAGAACCTAACCTGCTGTATAAGTGGGGCCCAGAACCTAACCTGCTGTATAAGTGGGGCCCAGAACCTAACCTGCTGTATAAGTGGGGCCCAGAACCTAACCTGCTGTATAAGCGGGGCCCAGAACCTAACCTGCTGTATAAGCGGGGCCCAGAACCTAACCTGCTGTATAAGTGGGGCCCAGAACCTAACCTGCTGTATAAGTGGGGCCCAGAACCTAACCTGCTGTATAAGTGGGGCCCAGAACCTAACCTGCTGTATAAGCAGGGCCCAGAACCTAACCTGCTGTATAAGTGGGGCCCAGAACCTAACCTGCTGTATAAGTGGGGCCCAGAACCTAACCTGCTGTATAAGTGGGGCCCAGAACCTAACCTGCTGTATAAGCAGGGCCCAGAACCTAACCTGCTGTATAAGTGGGGCCCAGAACCTAAAACCCGCTGTATAAGTGGGGCCCAGAACCTAACCTGCTGTATAAGTGGGGCCCAGAACCTAACCTGCTGTATAAGTGGTGCCCAGAACCTAACCTGCTGTATAAGTGGGGCCCAGAACCTAACCTGCTGTATAAGTGGGGCCCAGAACCTAACCTGCTGTATAAGTGGGGCCCAGAACCTAACCTGCTGTATAAGTGGGGCCCAGAACCTAACCTACTGTATAAGCGGGGCCCAGAACCTAACCTGCTGTATAAGCGGGGCCCAGTACCTAACCTGCTGTATAAGCGGGGCCCAGAACCTAACCTGCTGTATAAGTGGGGCCCAGAACCTAACCTGCTGTATAAGCGGGGCCCAGAACCTAACCTGCTGTATAAGCGGGGCCCAGAACCTAACCTGCTGTATAAGTGGGGCCCAGAACCTAACCTGCTGTATAAGCGGGGCCCAGAACCTAACCTGCTGTATAAGCGGGGCCCAGAACCTAACCTGCTGTATAAGCGGGCCCCAGAACCTAACCTGCTGTATAAGCGGGGCCCAGAACCTAACCTGCTGTATAAGCGGGGCCCAGTACCTAACCTGCTGTATAAGCGGGGCCCAGAACCTAACCTGCTGTATAAGCGGGGCCCATAACCTAACCTGCTGTATAAGTGGGGCCCAGAACCTAACCTGCTGTATAAGTGGGGCCCAGAACCTAACCTGCTGTATAAGCAGGGCCCAGAACCTAACCTGCTGTATAAGCGGGGGGCCCAGAACCTAACCTGCTGTATAAGCGGGGCCCAGAACCTAACCTGCTGTATAAGCGGGGTCCAGGACCTAACCTGCTGTATAAGCGGGGCCCATAACCTAACCTGCTGTATAAGCGGGGTCCAGGACCTAACCTGCTGTATAAGCGGGGCCCATAACCTAACCTGCTGTATAAGCGGGTCCAGGACCTAACCTGCTGTATAAGCAGGGGCCTCCTGTATATGGATTAATTATTACATCTTGCATGTTTCTGACATGGCTGTATAAGAAAAATTTTCTGGGGTTGAAGTAGGTACAGTTGTCATTGATCATTTTTTGTATTCAAGATGGTTCAGTTGAAGCATTCTTGCAAGATGAGTATTTGGATTAGCACAAAAATTTATATTTCATCCCAGCAAACACAGTAGGATGTAGGAGTGAGAGGGAGGTATTATTATTTTCTTTAATATGTTGGCTTTTTCTCACTAAGGTAGAGTGATTCAAAGAATTCAGAATTTATTCCAGATAGTTCCAATTCAGTAGATGCTCTCCATGCATAATTATCCTTAGAGTGCAGATGACCCTCTACACTGCATCATTCCCATTTATCCTTCAGAGTGCAGGCACTGTACTTCTCACCTTCACCCTTCCTTCAGAGTGCAGGCACTGTACTTCTCACCTTCACCCTTCCTTCAGAGTGCAGGCACTGTACTTCTCACCTTCACCCTTCCTTCAGAGTGCAGGCACTGTACTTCCTACCTTCACCCTTCCTTCAGAGTTCAGGCACTGTACTTCCTACCTTCACCCTTCCTTCAGAGTTCAGGCACTGTACTTCCTACCTTCACCCTTCCTTCAGAGTTCAGGCACTGTACTTCCTACCTTCACCCTCCTTCAGAGTGCAGGCACTGTACTTCCTACCTTCACCCATCCTTCAGAGTGCAGGCACTGTACTTCCCACCTTCACCCATCCTTCAGAGTGCAGGCACTGCACTTTTCACCTTCACCCATCCTTCAGAGTGCAGGCACTGTACTTCTCACCTCCACCCTTCAGAGTGCAGGCACTGTACTTCCACCTTCACCTTTCCTTCAGAGTGCAGGCACTGTACTTCCACCTCCACCTTCCTTCAGAGTGCAGGCACTGTATTCAATTGCCTTCACTAGAGTCAGCACGTACTTCCACCTTCAACCTTTTCGAGGCAGGCACTGTACTTTCCACCTTCACCTTCCTTCAGAGTGCAGGCACTGTACTTCCTACATTCACCCTTCCTTCAGAGTGCAGGCACTGTACTTCCCACCTTCACCTTCCTTCAGAGTGCAGGCACTGTACTTCCTACCTTCACCCTTCCTTCAGAGTGCAGGCACTGTACTTTCTCACCTTACCCTCTCTTCAGAGTGCAGGCATTGTACTTCCACTTCACCTCTCTTCAGAGTGCAGGCACTGTACTTCTCACCTTCACCTCCCTTTCAGAGTGCAGGCACTGTACTTTCCACCTTCACCCATCCTTCAGAATGTAGGCACTGTACTTCCCACCTTCACCCTCCTTCAGAGTGCAGGCACTGTACTTCTCACCTCCACCCTTCAGAGTGCAGGCACTGTACTTCCCACCTTCACCCTTCCTTCAGAGTGCAGGCACTGTACTTCCCACCTCCAACCTTCCTTCAGAGTGCAGGCACTGTACTTCCCAAGTTTGCCCTTCCATCAGAGTGCAGGCACTGTACTTCCCACCTCCAACCTTCTTTCAGAGTGCAGGCACTGTACTTTCCACCTTCACCTTTCCTTCAGAGTGCAGGCACTGTACTTCCTACCTCCACCCTTCCTTCAGATTGCAGGCACTGTACTTCCCACCTCCAACCTTCTTTCAGAGTGCAGGCACTGTACTTCCCACCTTCACCCTTCCTTCAGAGTGCAGGCACTGTACTTCTCACCTTCACCTCTCTTTCAGAGTGCAGGCATTGTACTTTCCACCTTCACCTCTCTTTCAGAGTGCAGGCACTGTACTTCTCACCTTCACCTCTCTTTCAGAGTGCAGGCACTGTACTTCTCACCTTCACCTCTCTTTCAGAGTGCAGGCACTGTACTTTCCACCTTCACCCATCCTTCAGAATGTAGGCACTGTACTTCCCACCTTCACCTTTCCTTCAGAGTGCAGGCACTGTACTTCCCACCTTCACCTCTCCTTCAGAGTGCAGGCACTGTACTTCCCACCTTCACCTCTCCTTCAGAGTGCAGGCACTGTACTTCCCACCTTCACCTCTCCTTCAGAGTGCAGGCACTGTACTTCCCACCTTCACCTCTCTTTCAGAGTGCAGGCACTGTACTTCCCACCTTCACCTCTCTTTCAGAGTGCAGGCACTGTTCTGCCCACCTCCATGGACAAAAATAAAAAATAAATAAAAAGACAGACATAGCTTACATGTGGAATTGTTACCTTCTCAGGGTCCATCTCTCAACCAGCTTGGAGTGGTGATTCACACAGACATGTCACCTCTGGACTTCTGTGGTAGTCGCTGTCAAGTTGTTGGCCACGTTGCAATAGCAGAAAATGTTCTCGGTCTGCTCTCACATTTCATTCAAACACCAGCTGATTCTGTAAGTTACAATATATTGAAATATTAGCCCATTGTTTTCAGACATATATATGAAGAGTAAATAAGTGAATTGGTGTGACATTGTGTTTATGGTTACATGGATGTGATTACCTATTATAGCTACAGGAGCAGACTTGAACTCATGGGGTCCAGTCATCGGGGTTTAGTTCATTGTTAAAACATTCATACCTTCCACTTGTAGTACTTTCTACCTCCACCTAGAAACTTTTCCTTTGATCTACACTTTGTGAAAAATAACTATGTATGTGTTCTTTCAGCCGTTCTCCCTTAGTTTGTAGTTAGGGCAGCTTAGTTTGTTGTTTTAGTGTCTTAATTTGTTTTTATTGCATCTTGTACTAGTTGATGGTGTTAGGAAGTCCTTGTTACTTGTTTTGTGTATCTATATTATATCTTTTAAACATTTTAAATGTGGTTATCATATCTCCTCTTTCCCTACTGTCAGCCTAAGATGGCTTAGCCATTGCTTTTAGCTTTTCAGTGGGCCATTTTTTAGCTTGCCAATGGAATTTTTTTCTAGTTTGATAATTTTTTAGTATACTGTCAATATCATACTGCTGCTGTATACATCTAAATGCTATTTTAAAGTTGGACAATACATCATCAAAACTCCTTACAGCTTTATTTGTTATTTTCTTTTTACATTCTTTGTTATTCGTGACTTCAAGGTTCCTTTCTTAGTATGATGTCTTGATTGTTTTGTTTAGTTAGTATTGTGTTCATGTCCTACTTCCACTTTCACCCTTTACTATAAAATAACATTTACATTAAATTCCACTATCAGTGTTTCACTCTGTTTGCTCAGTCTGTCTAGGTTTTCCTGTAAGGAAACTCAATAGTTTGTGTTGCTTGCACAGGAATTTTGCATCATCTGCAAACATATTTATGTTAATGGTATGCAGTACTGATAATTTGACCATTAATATAATGATAATTATCTGACCTAGCAACACCATGGAATCTTTGTACAGAGGATATCTTCTGCTACCTTGTTGCTCACCTCTGGGCATGACCTACTGCTGCTTGTGGGCCTCACCCACCTGTAACAATACCTTCCATTGCTTCACCTCTCTTATGGCTCCAGTAATAAGTATCTATCCTCCTGCCTCTACTTCAGATTAATCATGACTAAGGGACTAAACATCATATATGAGCCTGAGGGATTAATTACCTCATTTTTTCACTCTCCAGAATAGTATGGTTGGCAAAATATCTTCATAATAAAGATAGCCAAGTGTTGCATGTCTTGGTCATCGTCTGCTGCTACAATGCTTATTTGTGACTGTGCTCACCTGTTTGTTGTTTCAGAGGCCAAGTCTCAGCTCCTGGCCCTGCTTCTTAACTTGTGAAGAAAAGATACATGTTACATAACAAGCTTTAATCGAGACAACATTCCATTTGTGTCGAGTTTTATCAAGTCAGAATTTGTACTCAGAGTAAAACTTTTTCCAAGCAATAAGGAATTTGGATCTTGCTTCTTGCTACTTACTGGGTTTACCCCCTCCTAGTCACATGGGCCTTATCATACTTTGTTTTTAAAATTATGTATGGAACTTGCCTGTGACTAAAGAAATGCTAGTATCCAGTTTCTTGACATGCTTTATCAGGTGTGGGGGTTCCAGGCTGGTGCTGTGTATTTGATGCTTCTCTCTTATGTTTTTTTTTTTTTTTTTTATACATGTATTTATTTTTTTAACACGTCAGCCATCTCCCATCAAGGCAGGGTGGCCTGAAATAGAAACACTTTCATCATGATTCAACACTCACCATCATTCACACATAATCACTGTTTTTGCAGAGGCACTCAGATATGGCAGTTTAGATGTCACTCCAAACAGCAAATATCCCGAACAACTCTTTTAACCCGTAAATGGTCCAAACATGTATAGTATATGTTAGTACCACTAGTGCTTCGAATGTAGATCAATGTTTTATTTTTCCTGCCTCCAAATTTGGCACAATTGGCCTGAGATGCCTTGTCAGCATAGAATGGGTCATAACACTCGGTGTGTGCAGTATTAAAAAAATCTGGGACCACTTAGTACCTTGTGGGAGCACTAGTTCAACTGAGTGCCAGCTAGAGCAAACAGCGTGGCAAACACCAGGGATTCACTGATTTTTTTTTTTTTTTTTTTCAACAAGTCGGCCGTCTCCCACCGAGGCAGGGTGACCCAAAAAAGAAAGAAAATCCCCAAAAAGAAAATACTTTCATCATCATTCAACACTTTCACCACACTCACACATTATCACTGCTTTTGCAGAGGTGCCCAGAATACAACAGCTTAGAAGCATATACGTATAAAGATACACAACATATCCCTCCAAACTGCCAATATCCCAAACCACTCCTTTAAAGTGCAGGCATTGTACTTCCCATTTCCAGGACTCAAGTCCGACTATATGAAAATAACTGATATCAAGTGTTATTAAAATCATTTAAATCAGTCAAGGAGCTTAATTTATCAACTAAATCTATGTTGTTTTTAACATTAAAGTTAGAAATTTTACCAACAATAGCACTCAAAATGTCAACAAGCCATTTGGATAATTTATATAAAACTGGGATGTGATGGTGAGGTGTGGTCTAGACCCTTTATATGCCTGCCTTTGATGCATGAGTTTGGGAGTGTGTGTAAAGGTAGAAAGTTGGAAGTGAACATAGAAAAGAGTAAGGTGATGAGGGTATCAAATGATTTAGATAGAGAAAAATTGGATATCAAATTGGGGAGGAGGAGTATGGAAGAGGTGAATGTTTTCAGATGCTTGGGAGTTGACGTGTTGGCGGATGGATTTACGAAGGATGAGGTTAATCATAGAATTGATGAGGGAAAAAAGATGAGTGGTGCATTGAGGTATATGTGGAGACAAAAATTGTTATCTATGGAGGCAAAGAAGGGAATGTATGAAAGTACATGTATAGTAGTACCAACACTCTTATATGGGTGTGAAGCTTGGGTTGTGAATGCAACAGCGAGGAGGCGGCTGGAGGCAGTGGAGATGTCCTGTCTAAGGGCAGTGTGTGTGGTGTAAATATGCAGAAAATTCGGAGTGTTGAAATTAGGAGAAGGTGTGGAGTTAATAAAAGTATTAGTCAGAGGGCTGAAGAGGGGTTGTTGAGGTGGTTTGGTCATTCAGAGAGAATGGATCAAAGTAGAATGTCATGGAGAGCATTTAAATCTGTAGGGGAAGGAAGGCGGGGTAGGGGTCGTCCTCGAGAAGGTTGGAAGGAAGGGGTAAGGGAGGTTTTGTGGGCGAGGGGCTTGGACTTCCAGCAGGCATGCATGAGCGTGTTCGATAGGAGTGAATGGAGACAAATGGTTTTTGGGACCTGACGATCTGTTGGAGTGTGAGCAGGGTAATATTTAGTGAAGGGATTCAGGGAAACTGGTTATTTTTATATAGCCAGACTTGAGTCCTGGAAATGGGAAGTTCAATGCCTGCACTCTAGAGGAGGGGTTCAGGATATTGGCAGTTTGGAGGGATATGTTGTGTATCTTTATATATACGTATATGCTTTTAAACTGTTGTTTTCTGAGTACCTCTGCAAAAACAGTGATTATGTGTGAGTGAGGTGAAATTGTTGAATGATGATGAAATTATTTTCTTTTTGGGGATTTTCTTTCTTTTTGGGTCACCCTGCCTCGGTGGGAGACGGCCGACTTGTTGAAAAAAAAAAATACATATACACACACACATACACATAAACACACATACAAACATACATACATATACGTATATAATTGCTTGTCCATTTCTGCATAGTAGTTCGTCACTTTCATATGTGTGATTCTCTATTGACAATATTTGTTAATGGTGACTTCTGGGTATGTACCTTTGACTGATGCCCTTAGTGTTTTGTTTGTGTTATGATAATAAATAATAAGATTTATGTTCTTAATTGGCATTCATTGCATATAAACAAAAATGTGTTTTTCATCCTTCAAAACAATTTATTCTTTCACATATTTTGAAAAGTGTAAAAATTGTAATTGTAGTGCACAGTGATCTTAAATCCCATGGTTAGTTACACCTCTATATCATCTCATTAAAAGGTCTCTCATTTATTGATGGGTGTTTGAAGTATGTTGTAAACTTCATAAATAAAGTTGCTTACTGTAAAGTTACTGTATGTATATCAATGTGAAAAGTACTTTAAAATTAACATTCTCTACTTTTATCTGCAGCAACATTCAATGTCTTCTACACCAGCGCCACAACAGCCAGTGTTAGATGCGTCTTCACAGCCTACCACACAACCGACTCATAACCAGCTGACAACACCACAACCACCGCCACCACCGCCGCCACCGCTGCCGCCACTGCCAACTCAGTCACACTCACAACACACAACAGTTACAAAACCACTTCATCACAGTGGTTCAGACCCAAACACCCAAGCAGTGACTGAAGGTGATGATGTGGAGGAAGAGAGAGGTAAGCCCATTTACCATTCTCTCATTTTGCATTAATTCACAACACAAACTTATATTTATGCTGCAGGTTTTTCAATGTGCATTTTATGGTGAACTCAGAATGTCCAGAATTCCACACACATTATGAATGGTTTATCGCATGAGACTTGTCCTTCAGCTGGCACAGTACTTACTATATCCACCTGCATTTTTCTGCTTGTGTATGTTTGGGGAATAATTTCTCCCTTTTTGAAAAATGTAGTAATGGAAAAATTAAAGATAATTAAAAATAAATGAGAATAAATGCATAACCAAAAGGCATAGAGTAGGACCTCAGTTTATGGCACTTCTCTTCTCGGCACTTTATGAAAAATGTAGTAATGGAAAAATTAAAGATAATTAAAAAATAAATGGGAATAAATGCATAACCAAAAGGCATAGAGTAGGACCTCAGTTTACGGCACTTCTCTTCTCGGCACTTTACTTCTCATCACTTTGCTAATACAGCCATTGCAAATTATATTTATTTTATTATCACACTGGCCGATTCCCACCAAGGCAGGGTGGCCCGAAAAAGAAAAACTTTCACCATCATTCACTCCATCACTGTCTTGCCAGAAGGGTGCTTTACACTACAGTTTTTAAACTGCAACATTAACATCCCTCCTTCAGAGTGCAGGCACTGTACTTCCCATCTCCAGGACTCAAGTCCGGCCTGCCGGTTTCCCTGAACCCCTTCATAAATGTTACTTTGCTCACACTCCAACAGCACATCAAGTATTAAAAACCATTCGTCTCCATTCACTCCTATCAAACACGCTCACGCACGCCTGCTGGAAGTCCAAGCCCCTCGCACACAAAACCTCCTTTACCCCCTCCCTCCAACCTTTCCTAGGCCGACCCCTACCCCGCCTTCCTTCTACTACAGACTGATACACTCTTGAAGTCATTCTGTTTCGCTCCATTCTCTCTACATGTCCGAACCACCTCAACAACCCTTCCTCAGCCCTCTGGACAACAGTTTTGGTAATCCCGCCCCTCCTCCTAACTTCCAAACTACGAATTCTCTGCATTATATTCACACCACACATTGCCCTCAGACATGACATCTCCACTGCCTCCAGCCTTCTCCTCGCTGCAACATTCATCACCCATGCTTCACACCCATATAAGAGTGTTGGTAAAACTATACTCTCATACATTCCCCTCTTTGCCTCCAAGGACAAAGTTCTTTGTCTCCACAGACTCCTAAGTGCACCACTCACCCTTTTCCCCTCATCAATTCTATGATTCACCTCATCCTTCATAGACCCATCTGCTGACACGTCCACTCCCAAATATCTGAATACATTCACCTCCTCCATACTCTCTCCCTCCAATCTGATATCCAATCTTTCATCACCTAATCTTTTTGTTATCCTCATAACCTTACTCTTTCCTGTATTCACTTTTAATTTTCTTCTTTTGCACACCCTACCAAATTCATCCACCAGTCTCTGCAACTTCTCTTCAGAATCTCCCAAGAGCACAGTGTCATCAGCAAAGAGCAACTGTGACAACTCCCACTTTATGTGTGATTCCTTATCTTTTAACTCCACGCCTCTTGTCAAGACCCTCGCATTTACTTCTCTTACAACCCCATCTATAAATATATTAAACAACCACGGTGACATCACACATCCCTGTCTAAGGCCTACTTTTACTGGGAAATAATTTCCCTCTTTCCTATGTACTCTAACTTGAGCCTCACTATCCTCGTAAAAACTCTTCACTGCTTTCAGTAACCTACCTCCTACACCATACACCTGCAACATCTGCCACATTGCCCCCCTATCCACCCTGTCATACGCCTTTTCCAAATCCATAAATGCCACAAAGACCTCTTTAGCTTTATCTAAATACTGTTCACTTATATGTTTCACTGTAAACACCTGGTCCACACACCCCCTACCTTTCCTAAAGCCTCCTTGTTCATCTGCTATCCTATTCTCCGTCTTACTTTTAATTCTTTCAATAATAACTCTACCATTCACTTTACCAGGTATACTCAAGAGACTTCTTTCTTCTTTCAACACACCGGCCGTATCCCACCGAGGCGGGGTGGCCCAAAAGGAAAAACGAAAGTTTCTCCTTTTACATTTAGTAATATATACAGGAGAAGAGGTTACTAGCCCCTTGCTCCCGGCATTTTAGTCGCCTCTTACAACACGCATGGCTTACGGAGGAAGAATTCTATTCCACTTCCCCATGGAGATAAGAGGAAATAAACAAGAATAAGAACTAGAAAGAAAATAGAAGAAAACCCAAAGGGGTGTGTATATATGTGCTTGTACATGTATGTGTAGTGTGACCTAAGTGTAAGTAGAAGTAGCAAGACGTACCTGAAATCTTGCATGTTCATGAGACAGAAAAAAGGACACCAGCAATCCTACCATCATGTAAAACAATTACAGGCTTTCGTTTTACACTCACTTGGCAGGACGGTAGTACCTCCCTGGGCGGTTGCTGTCTACCAACCTACTACCTATAACTCAAGAGACTTATCCCCCTATAATTTTTGCACTCTCTTTTGTCCCCTTTGCCTTTATACAAAGGAACTATGCATGCTCTCTGCCAATCCCTAGGTACCTTACCCTCTTCCATACATTTATTAAATAATTGCACCAACCACTCCAAAACTATATCCCCACCTGCTTTTAACATTTCTATCTTCATCCCATCAATCCCGGCTGCCTTACCCCCTTTCATTTTACCTACTGCCTCACGAACTTTCCCCACACTCACAACTGGCTCTTCCTCACTCCTGCAAATTAGTGTACCCCAAAATTTGTTTATACAGCTCCTGATTTGTTATCACAGTCTGAGCTCCTGGCTGGGCATTTGTATGTCATTTTCTTTCTCTCAGTTTGTTTACATCCTCCGTGAGCTCTGCATCTCCCAATTATGTATGGAATCTTGCCAGAGTTTCAAGTGTTTTAACCCTTTCAGGGTCCGTGCCATAGTTCTATGGCTTTGAGTTGTGGGTCCGAACCGTAGAACTATGCTAAAATTCTAGCAGCCTCAAATTTAGCACAAGAAGGCTGGTAGGCCTACATCTAAGAGAATGGGTCTGCGTGGTGTGTATGTCCGCTGTAAACAAAAACTCTAGGCGCCCGCATGGCATTGTGGGAGCGCCGCCTCAGTAAGTTTTGTATACCATGCCTCACAGCAAGGCAGCTCTCACTCTGAGGCGAATTGGGACTCTCCTCTTCCTAACTGATAGTTCTGACTCTGAAGGAAATGCAAATGAAGAGGAATTCTATGGTTTTGATCGATTAGTGACTGAAAGCAATGACCAGGATATTGAAAATAGTGCAGAAAATCCTGATGATCCTCACCCTTCTACCTCTGGTGTGGGCACGTCTCAGTCATGTTCAGTTGTACCTTGTCGCAAGAGAAAACTAATATTTTCACGTGGCCAGGCCTTAGACTTGAGTAATGGTGATGATAGTGATGTGGACTTTGATTTTATTGCTCTTGATGACCATTCGAGTAGTGATAGTGATGAGTCATATTCACCAGTTAAGCGTCAGTATATTCTCTGCCACATGCGCTCGGGTAGTGTTCCACATGTAGTGCCAAGGGGTTGGAGTACATCCCGGAGTGCATCCTGGAGTACATCCCGTGGCCCTACACCAGGAATAGACAGTGAAAGTGAGGATGATGTGGCTACACTTGGCATGGAACACACCACAGGCATCAGTAGGTGGTGGTAATGGTGGTGGTGGTGGTAGTGCCACAGCCACACATGACTCGCCAGCCCAGGCAGGGACCCGCACCGCTGACTCATCAGATCCAGGACAAAGCGGAGCGTCATCCACCACCACACCACAACCGCAACTACATCCACAACCAGCTTATGATGTCCAGTATCCACCAGCAATCCACATCTGGGATTGGCAGCAAAATCCCAATTTTGTTCCCAATTCCCATCAGTTTGATGACTCTCAAAATGGAATCCTACCAACTTTGTTCCTTTGGAGACACTGCAAATGAACTGGAATTCTTTGAACTATTCTTTGACCAGCCCTTGATGGAAATTATTATCAGGGAAAGTAACAAATATTTTGAGTACACCATTTATTTATTTATTTATTTATGTCTTTGCAAATAGTACATTGAGTGGTTTTTGCAGGTCTTTCGATTTAAATTTGGCTATGATATATTCTCCATGTTCATCCCTTGGGCAAGATTTATTGATACATTCGAGTTGATTTGAGTAGTATATAACTGTTCCTCGACCTTGCTGGTCTGTTCTACAGTTGTGTATGGCCATGTAGCCAGGAATGGTATAGAAATCTGTAATATCAGGCTTAAGCCAGGTTTTTGTGAGTGTGATGATTGATATATTGGAATGAAGGGAACTGAGTAATGCTGTGAGGTCATCATAATGTTTGCTCAAGGATCTGACATTGTAGTTAAAGATGGTTATGTTATTGTTTGCACTGAGTAATGTTTTTGCTTGGTCTGCTGTGTAGTAATTACAGTTGCTGTTTGATTCGTGAAATTCATTTAGTAAAAAGTTTACATCAGGGTCTATGCCTGTAATCATAAGATGAGAGTACTTTCACAAACTAGATTTTCTGAGTAAAATAATGTAAGAGTTGTATTGAATCTACTACTAGACTTAGGAATAATACTATGTAATTATTCTAAAACTTTTAAAAATATAAAAGAACTATGGATTATTATGGCAAATACGATCATATCACCACAGTCAAGACTACACCGGTGGAAAGAGACAGCTGTGGCTGAAATGTATTTGCCTTTTGCGACATTGATGCTTATGCCTCATGTCTATAAGCATAATATAAAAACATACTGGTCCACATTATGCAGATTTATTTGGTTATTACACTACTGAAAAATTGCAGCATAATTTTTTACAAGACTTCATAAAATTAACTGAACACGGTTCGGTTTGCGGGAGGGGAAGAAAATTGGAGCATCACTCACAGGATATTTCCCTAGCTCAGGCAGCTG